TCTCCTCTCGGGTTCTTTGGAACGTACGCACACGTGCCCAGCATGAGTTTAAGTCACCAGTTCTGGGATTCAAGCTGCGGTCTACTACATGGGAGTCCAGCAACATAGCCATTACACCAATGCTGGTCCCTTTATCTACTTTCTTAAAGAGTCAGAGTCTGCTGTCTCCAGCCACTTGGATGATCTGCTTCTCACTGAAATGCAAAGAATTGGTTCTAAAATCTACTTCCCAAGATTTATGTCCTTTTTTAAAAAAAAATTATTTAACTTTATTTATTTTAATTTGACCAGATAGGGGGAGGGAGAAACAGAGAGAGAGAGAGAGAGAGAGAGAGATGGGAAGTGAGAAAGCAAGCTGCCAGGTCCAGGATGTGAACTGCAGTCAGCCATGTGGGAATCCAGCACCCTTAATCATCACACCACCTGCCAGTCCCAAATTTACGTCCTTTTTTATGAAGGTTTTTTTTCCCCCTTCAGTTCAGAGCTTATGATAGAGAAATTACTAAATGACTGGCTAATGAGAAAGAGATTTAGGAGTCAATTTTTGATGGGAAATTATCCAACTTGGATAGAGATAGAGTTCTGTCCTGGCTTATGGCTTTTGGCTTATTAATGGAAGACATCCACAACAATGCTACTGGTAAATTATTATAATTACAAAACAACGAGATTGATGCAACATAAAAAATAAACTTTTAAAAAGTGGTTGTCAGGGCTAAACTTTTACCAAGTACTGGACTGATCTGTATTTTGTACAAAATTTACTGTACAAACCCAAGAGAACTCTTATAGTAAAGACAAAACTCTTGGCCACTGACATTCTAATGATTAAAGGACTGGGTCCAAGATAGTATGAGGCACATCCTTGCAGATTAGTTCAGTTGACATATGACAGAATAAAAGTCCTCACTTCTCATGAGGGTGTCCTGAAGATCTATAATGGCTTATTCAAAGTAAAGCCTTATTACCAATACTCTGACAAGATCAGTGGCTATCTCAAACAGGTAAGACACCTTGGAAATACTTGGGTATACAAACAATGGGGTCATAGAAAAGAGGACACTGTCTTTGCTTGAGGATGGGTCCAGGGTGTTGTGGCAGGAGTCTTCACACCTATTCAATCAGTCCACGAGCATGAGGTCTACAAAGAAACAAACTCTTGAGACCAGCAGTTAGCATAATGGCTATGTCGCTGGACTCCCATGTAGTCAACCGCGGTTTGAGTCCTGGACCCAGTGACTTGAACTCACGCTGGGCGCGTGTGCATGCGTGCCCAAGATCCCGAGAGGAGAATGGAGGAGAAGGGATTGTAGCATGGCCATCCCTCCTGGGGGGTGATTTCTTGCTTTCTCTCTCTCTCTCTCTGGCGAGCACACGAGCACACCCATCCTATAGCAAAAACCTCTCAAAAAAAAAAAAAAAGAGAGAAAAAAAAAGGAAACAAACTCTTACTCCACATATACAGAGAGAAACTGGCTCTACCCACCATTTGTCAAGTGTTTGCACTGAGACATGACCCACTTACCAACACAGAAAGTTCTTCAGCTGTCAAAAGTTACTAAGGTTATAAGGCCACTCTTAGAATCTACAACTGGTGTTTCCCTCAAGTTGTTTATAGAAAACTCCAGTGCGATTGACCCCAAGAGTGGGTCATGATCTGATTATAAAAACTACATTCCATCTTTCCTATAAACTTAAGCAATGAAGAGTAGAAGAGTGGAAGGGCCTCATTTGCCAGCTCAGGTTCCTCACTAACTCCTATTTTTTACTCAATGACTTATAGCCCTATTGCAGACATTTAACTTCTCAACAGTTGTGCTCCTTATTGTGTGTGTCACTCATCACAAGTTTCATGGTGAGCAAAACGAAGGGGTGTATTAGGATGATGGAGTACAGATAAGAGTCTAGTCCATATATGGTCTGAATCCCCATATTATCTGTGTATTTTGGCCATGCTCAACATTACAAGACCTAACAAAATACAAATAAGATGTCCTGAGTCTTTCATTTTCCAATCACAAGTGGGGAAGTAGAAGAGATTCTTTATTGAATGGACTTGGACACAGGAAACAAATTACATTTGGAAGAGCCCTAAAATATTTTTTTAAACTAAATTCAGTCTTTAATACAAACTTGTGCATTGTTTGTAAACTGCTCATTTAAAAAAATGAGTGGAGGACAGTTTTTATAAACCCAAGTAATAAGACGTATTCAATAGTTGGGAAAGTAAAAAAAGCTATTTGGTTAGTATTACATACAAATTTTAAACATGATTCAAAAGCATTTCAAATACTGAAGAGTTTCAAATGGAGTATTTTATTCACATGTTGTCTTTTTAACATGTACACGCACACTGACACACTCTGATTGGTCTTTGTGGAAGAAGGGTTGTCTAAATATCCTAAAGCAAAATGAAAAATTAAAAAATATATTAATTTTTCATTATTATAGGCAATTACATCCACATCACTTACAGAGCTATTACTGATTCTGTCCCAGGAAGCAGAATGGTAAACAGGGAGGAAATTTGAGTGATAAATTCAACAATGACATAACTGAGATCTCAACATGAGAAAACTGACAAAACATGGAATTTTGCTGTGAAACTTTTCTCTGCAAAATATGGAGAAACATCTGTCCATTGATAGTAAATAAGAGAAGATGGTGAACTTCTACAGTCAATTTTCTTCACAGTATTGTGCAGAGGCATCAAGAAGATTACTTAGTCTTTCTCTGGGACTAGTTTCAGAACTTTCCCAATTGCAATGGTCTTACCTTCATCTCTTAAAGTAAAACAACCCATCTGAGGAAAATCTTTAAAAGTCTCCAGACAGATAGTTCCTGCTGTCCTTAAACGAGCAATGCATACTTGATCTTGTTTCACAAAACGGGTCAGTGACTTACTTTTTTCTCCTGATTTTTTGTCTACCAAGGAGATTAAGGCTGTTATCTCGACCTCTTCTATACAAGTATGAATGTGCAGCACCGCATTATAACCTGGGCAGATGATGGATTTGTGCTCGATAATAACTATCTGAACATCAAATGTGCGTCCAGAATGGCAAAGATTACTTGGGTCACAAAGTATGAATCCTGGAAGAATCTCTTCTTCTTCAATTCCTTTCAGTCTGATTTTGAGATTTTCACCTGGGGCTACAAAATCAGTTTCAGTATCATCAGAAAGTATCCCAAGAACTTCCACATTGTGCTTGTTTGGCATCATCACAAGCTGCTGGCCTTTAAAAATGGATCCTGATTCCAGCTTTCCCAGGACTACAGTGCCCATATCCTTATACTTATCCACAATTGGCAGTCTAATTGGTCCATCAATTGATCTGTTGAAGTTTGGCAAATTATCCAGATATGGAATAAATGGTAATCCAGTGTACCAAGGACAGAAATCTGATTGCTCCTTAATATTTGCTCCTGTCAGTCCTGAGCAGGGCATAAAGTAAATGTCCTTTTTTGGACTGAAGCCAACTTTTTTCAAAAAGGGCACCAATTTTTCTTTACATTCTTCATATCTCTCGCTGCTCCAATTTACTGTGGGATCATCCATTTTATTAATAAGCACTATTAAATGTTTTACCCCCGCTGTTTTTGCTAACATTGCATGTTCTCTTGTCTGTCCACCTTTTTCGAATCCAGTTTCAAACTCCCCTTTCCTGGCAGAGATGACCAGCACAGCCAAATCAGCTTGAGAAGCACCACCAATCATATTTGGGACAAAACTCTTGTGGCCAGGAGCATCTAAAATTGTGAAGTGTTTCTTTTCTGTTTCAAAATAAGCACGACCCACTTCTACTGTTTTACCCTTGTCTCGTTCTTCCTGATTTGTATCTAAGGACCTGGACAAATACCAGGTTTCTCTGTTTTTTTCCTTGGCTTCTCTTTCATATTTCTCAAGAGTCCTTTTGTCAACCATTCCGGTCAAAAACATTATTTGTCCTCCGATGGTTGACTTGCCAGCATCAACATGCCCGATGAAGACCACATTTACATGTTCCTTTTTAGGAGCACCCGAGGGCACGACCACAGATTTTGATTTTCTCATGTCCTCTTTTTCCTCCATCATTTCCTGGCCACTTTCTTCTGGAGGCCCTGAATCTCCCAAGGAACCACCCCCAGGCTCTGCTTCACTTACTTCTTTACTGTGCTCCCATGATTCTTCTAGGATCATTTCCACCTCTCCATTCTCTACAACAGGTTCTGAAAGTTCCATGGTAACGGCTGAATTGGAACCTTCCCACACTAAGGGTTCCTCTTTGGGAGGTTCCACAGGTGCCCCCCATCCCAGCCTTTTACCTTGAGGGTCTCCCGCGCGGATGCAGCTTTCATCGTTGCTGGCGGAGCCGGCTGCGGGGGTGGGCAGCTGCGCTGGGCCCCACAGGAAGGATGGCACGAACTCCGCGGCATGTACATTAGGCACGAAGGGTTTGGCGTTGACGTTGAGCTGGCGGCTGAAGGCCAAGCTGAGGTGCTCACGCTGGGTCTCGGCCACTGCGGAGGTGACTCCATCCCCGCTCCCGTTCGGGGCCGAAATCGGGGCTTCCATGTCCACTTGGTCCCAGCAATCGGGCGCGGAGTCGCTGCTGCTACTGCCAGGATCCATGGTCTGAGGACCTGGTGTGTAGCGGGGAGGGACTGGGGTCAAAAGAGCGGGCTACCTGGCGAAGGTAAGGCAGCAAGAGCAAAAGGCCAAGGGGTAACTACCCAAACCTCAACCGCAAGGCGGAGGCGGCTCAGTGCGGATGCTGCGTTTCCAACTGCGGCAGCTGCGTTCCCAACTGCGGCGGCGGCTGCAGATATGGCGGCTCGACACTCTCCTCTTGTGACTCTCCTCTTGTGTGTGAGCGGATCTCCTCCCCCAAACCCCAACCACTTCCGACTCCTCCACCCCCCGACCCAACGCCGGGAGTGACTGACCCCTCGCTGCCCTTGGTAAGCTCGGTCTCCTTAGTTCTCTGCCAGGGGCTAACTCCACAAGTAATGATTTGTAAAATGAAAATTTCCATTCACTTTTGTTCACAGGATCTGAAAGAGCAGTCTGACAGCCATCAAATGACTAAACCTAGACAGGCACACCTGACTTAAAATTCTGCTCAGAGATTCAAGTGAAAATGAAAATTACTATTGAACAAATATGAGGGAGGATATAGGCTAACTACCCAGAAATCCAGCAAGTGAAGAGAAATAAGTAGTGACTAGGAAGGGACTCATGAAATACATGAAGATGTAGTTGAGTTTAGGAAATGCAACTTAAGATCACTCATTATACTGAAAACAAAAAGCCTTTTGATTTTTATTTTTTCAATGGGCCTTCATAAGCCTGTAACTTTTCCTGATGGCTTGTGAGGTATAAGAATGGGATTACAACTTCTTTTCATGTTAAGCTCCCCAGCTGTCTTCATGGAGAGAACTTCCAAGGACTGGAAGAGCAGAAATTGGAGCCTTGTTCTGTTGAAGCTTCTAGTAGCTTCACGTGCAGATGCATGGACAAGACTGGCCTGGTATTCTGTGATGAATCACATAAACAAACACTAAGATTCAGTTCCTGTGTGCTTTTCCAACCAATTATATTCTTGGTGTACCTGTCCTCACTAGCACCTCCCCAGAGTACACCCTGGGTCCACAGACAAGGTTTTTCCTGCCTCTGAAAACTTGGGATTCTTCTCACTGCTGGTATTGGGTTTGCTCTTAGAACCAGTGCCATATTGACCCCTGCTCAGTTAGTGGTAATTACATAGGGCTGTGGGTGTCAGCCTAAATAAACTAAGTATGACCTCTGAGATGGACAAAGTCCTTAAGATCCTAATCAATAGAATCTCATCTTCAGAAAGAGTTAGCATTTCAGCCAAAGCCTAGATAACCTTTGTAAACTAATTTAGAGCAAACTGGGATTGAAGGTGGAAAAAAATCTTGGTTTTTTCTTTTTTTCCTGCTAGTGCAAGATGAAGTCATAGAGTTGGATAATAAATAAATCCAACAACCAAAACAAAATACTATATAAACCAAAAAACTGATTTATAACTTGAGAATTGTGTTCTCCAGACTTTAGGGGCAGAAAGAAAAAGTTGTCTGTTTGACAGACTGGGGCTCTTGATGTTTTCAGACTGGGACTGCCACTATTTTACTTGCTCTCTGCTGTTCCCAAACCTTTAGATATCAAACCCCTTCCTTCTCTTTACCTTAGGTAATTGCTTACTTACTTACTATGACATAAAGAGAATGTGCACATCTAGTCACAATGAATAGCAAGAACTGAGAAGTAGAATGCACAGAGACCTTTGGACAATACTTCTTACCTACGTTCACATAAATTCATTCATGCAAGGAAGCAGGACAGTTCTGGGATTTTTCCTTCACCTGGGTAAGTTGCATTATTCACAAGAACTGACATGATTGCTACTTAGTAATATTTTGTTAGAGAACAGAGGATGCTTCACTTCTAGAATCTTAAAGGAAAAATGAGAAATGGTGGGTAGATGTCCTCATAATTCATCATCTTTAGGGGTTAAGGGGAGGCAGGTTGACTTAAGAGAGAGAAACATTGACCAGGTTGTACCTAGAGTGTCTGATACTAGCTGAAAATCTATAGTTTTGTGATAGGGTTCTTCTTTCATTGTCTCTGCCTACAACTTCAAAAGAATTCATCATTAATGAGATAATTTTCCTCACCAAAGACTAGTTAAAAAAAAGTGTATATGATTTCCAATGACTAATTAATTCCAACTTTTTCCCCTTTAGAAACATCTCTTCTCTTGTAAAATATTGTAAACTGCAGAAAATTGCCTAAAAATTATAGCTTGATTTACGATAAATGAAACACTTCTGTAGGCACCACCCAACTCAATAAATAGATTTGTCGGCCAACTCAGAAAACTTCCCTATGCTCTGTCCAATAATAACCCACTCTCTCCACCTTGCTATTCTGACATTTATGGTAAGTACTGACCTGATTTTCTATTTAGTTTTCTCATATAATTGTGCACACTCAAGCACTATAGTTCAATTTTGCCTAACTTTTTTTGATACATCTTATAAGTCTTTCTTAATACTTGGTCACCACATTATCGTCCATTCTTCTGTCATTCATTCATTGAAGAAAGTGAGTGAAGCATCTTGTAGAGTTTTTGTTACATTCTCAACTTTGTTGACTCTATCCCTATGGTAAAATTTAGAGCATATATTTTTGTCCTGTATTTTATGTATATCAATAAATGTATCTATAAACTTGACCAGATTCAGGTGCAATTTTTTTTTTACAAGAATTCTTCAAGAGGTTGATTCTATATCTTTACTATTATAAATAGGGCTGCAATAAACATGAAACTGCAGATATCTCTTGATATACTGATTTTCCTTTTCTTTGTATATATGTTCGGTAGTGAAAATGCTGGATTATAGTTCTTTTAGATTTTTTAGTAGATTCCATACTGTTTTTCACAATTGTTGTATCAATTTACATTTCCATCAACAGTGTTTGAAGATTCCCTTTTCTCCACAGCCTTGCCAGCATTTATTTTTTCACTTTTTTGATAATAGTTGTTCTTTTTTAAATTTTATGTCTTTAATTTACATTTAATCACTATATAAATTTACAGTGTACATTGATTTTTCCAGCATGAATATGGTGCATATCAGTCAAGACAAAGACATTACCATACACATTATAACCAGCATAAAAACCTTCATGTGTCAATTAAATATATTTTTCCCCTGTTCCCCTCCCTCCCACCCATTATGCACCCCAGTATTACTTCTGTCCTTACTACCTCTACTATCTACAGTTTCCCTCCCTACAACTATAACTTCCAAACTTTCAGTTTCTGCAATATAGTATAGACACTTGGTATATATTAAGTGGAGATATACAAAGTATGTCTTTCATACTCTGGCTTGCTTTGCCTAGCATTAAATCTTCCATATTTGTCCACTTTTAAAAAATTATTTAATTTTAATTTTATTTAGTTTTTTTACTTGTTTTAATTTGACCACAGCAGGACACAGTGAGAGTGAGAACAAGAGTGAGAGAGAGAGAGAGCGAGAGAGAGAGAAAGCCACCAGGTCCAGGACTCAAATTGCTGTGGGCCATGTGGGAGTCCAGCTTCCTTAACCACCACACCACCTGCTGGCTTCATATTTGTCTACTTTGTATCAAATGTCAGGGTATCATTTTTTTTTTTTATGACTGAGTAGTATTATACCATAGAGTACATATGCAACATTTTTTCAATCTACTCATCTACTTTTGGACATTTGGGTTGATTCCATGTCCTAGCCATTGTAAATGTTGCAGTAAATGTGGATGTGCAAGTGTTTTTTCCGACTCAGGATTTCTCTATCCTTTGGATAAATACCCAAGAGTGAAATTAATGGGCCGTATGGTAGTTCTCTTTGTAGGTTTCTGAGGGATCTCCATATCGTTTTCCGGAGTGGTTTTACTAATTTGCATTCCCACCAACAGTGTAGGAGAGTTCCCTTTTCACCACAGCCTTGTCAGCACTTATCATTACTTCTTATCATTACTTTTTTTTTTTTTTTTAAATTTTAGTCATTCTGACTTGGGTTATGTGGTATCTCATTGTGGTTTTGATTTGCATTTCCCTTATGATAAGAGATATTGAGCATGTTCTCATATGATTTTTGGTCATTTGTATGTCTTCTTTGGAGAGTTGTCTGTTCAACTCATTTTCCCATCTTTTAATTGGATTGAATTTTTTGTGGGTGAGTTCCCCGTATATTCTGATTATTAGTCACTTGTTTGAGGTAAAGTTTGCAAATATATTCTCCCACTGTGAGGGTTGTATTCTAAATCTAATTATTATTTCTTTTGCTGTGCAGAAGCTGCTCAGCCTAATATAGTCCCATTTGTCTACTTTTGGCTATTGCCTGTGCTTTAGAGGTCATTGCTTACTCCAAAGTTTCCAAGAGTTTTTCGTGTGTTTTCCACCAGTATTTTTATACTATGAGGTTTTGCATTTAGATCTCAAATGATTTTGTGTTGATTTTTGTTAGTAGTGAGAAGTAAGGGTCCAGTTTTTAATTCTCCTGCAGTGGATATCCAGTTCTTTCAGCCCCGTTTACTGAAGAGATTTTCTTTTTTCCACTGGATTGTCTTGTGCCCTTTGTCAAGGATCAGTTGGCTATATATTTTGTGGTTTATTTCACTGTTCTGAGTTCTGTTCTATTGGTCTATCTGCCTGTTTTTGTGCCCATACCACACTGTGCTATTCCCCTTATTGCTTTGATTACATTGAGCCTTTTATTATTCCAGACAAATGTTACTATTGTTTTTTTCTGTTTCTGTGAGAAATATCTCTGTTAGTTTTATTGGAATTGCATGGAATTTGTAGATTAATATGGGTAAGATTGCCATCTTGATTATATTAATTCTTCCAATACAGGAACATGGAATGATTTTCCACTTTTTTGTATCATTTTTAACTTCTTTTTCAAGTATTCCATAGTTTTCCTTGTAGAGATCTTTGATGTCTTTGGTATCATTCATTTCTAGATATCTTCTTAGTTCTGTGGATTTTGTAAATGGGATTGCTTTCTTCAAGTTTGTCTCAGTTTGTCTATTGTTGGTGCATAAAATGCTATAGATTTTTGAATGTTGATTTTGTATCCTGCCACTTTGGTATATTCATTTATCATTTCCAAGAGTTTTATTTTCTTGTGGATTCTTTGAATTTTCTATGTATAGCATTATATCATTTGCAAATAGAGATAATTTCATTTCTTTTCCTATGTGAATGCCTTTTGTTTGACTCTTGTATCTGATTGCATTCACTAGAACTTCAATACTGTGTTTAAAAGGAGT